TCAAGAACACAGCAGGTATAGTAATGCAAATGTTCCTATACATAGAGGCTGGGAGATTTTCATTCTTCCAGATTTTTTCATTTAGCAAAAAACTCGTTTCCTCACCAAAGCAGCTCAAAAGCCCAATGGAATATATGGTCCTGGAGGAGGTTGTGAGCCTCTCTGCAGATGGGGAATGTCGGACTCCGAATTCCAGTCCAGGACTAATGGCTTCACCTCCAAGCCTTACCAGGTCTCAGAAGCGAGTGAGACCAGCAGCTTCTACCACAGGCTGTAACGGTGACGGTTTCACGGTTTCACATTTGGGTAGAGAACAGTGGCCACAGTGCTCCAAGTACCGCGCCCTCCACCAGACGTCAGTTTCTTTGAGGCCTCCACTCTATTTGGATGCCCCTATGTGATGGAGCCATGGTGTGATCCCTCCCCCAACACACCAGAATCTGCAGACAAACATTTCTTGGGGCACTTGGACAAAATGCTGTCAACCCCAGTCCTCTTTGGCATAAAATGTACTTGCCAAGTATCAGTGCTGTTTAAGCCAGCTAGGTAAATATCTTAGAGATTTTCAAGCCTCGCCCTCAGATTCTGATCCAAAGCTGGAATGGGCCATTGGAATCCCTATGTAGAAAGCTTAAGGTCTTCTGATGACTAGCAGATTAGGGAAACACTGCTTAGGAAAGTAAAAATTTAATAGCAAATCATGGAATCTCAGCCTATTTTAAAGGACAAACATCTTACAGAAGTTACATATATTAAATGGTACATTCTTAGAACCACCACAGCACGTTTATCAGCCTCACTTCCAGTTTAATTGGTCTAATGTCAGTGTTGTCAAGGCTGAGAAACCAACGCGGGTCTGAACAGTCTCGTAATTTGGAACTGGCAACCTCTCTGAGATGATCTCGGAAGTGGCTCGGGGTCTCTACTGGAAGGCCAGGAAGTGCTGGCCGGGCGGAAGGGTGGTAAGCAGGACCACCAGCCTGTCATTTCCACTGCATCATTTAATCCTCTGGAGTTCTTTATAGATGAAAAAACCAAGGCTCAGGGAGGAGTCATTTTCCAGAGGTCACACACATCTAGGAAGTAACAACTAAATTTAAAAGCACAATTTTCCCTTTACTAGTAGAGCATTCTCACTCTCTAAAGTTGGATTTTAGACTTGATTACTGAATTCTCTGGAGCCCGTAGGAAATGCTATGATGGAAAACCAGCCTTCAGCATATGAATGCAAGATTCTCAGGGAAGTTAATAACATTTCCCTTTATTTCCAAGTCTGCAGACTTAAGGTTTACCTTAAATTTAAGCCCTTAAACTAAAGCACTTTTCACTAATGCTCACTCTGATGGAGCCAAGGGAAGCTCAAAAGATGCCTACGCGGTAATGCCAGTTTATAGGAAACAGATCAGATCAGATTAGAGCTAGCTCATTTCCCATTGCCCAAAGTAATTGCCTATGTTCTCTTGTTGCAAAGGATGGAATGGCCCTATTCCTATTTAAAACTAGTCCTAACGGAGTGGGGAGGTAGATAAGAGTAAAGGGGATCAAATATGTGATGGAAGAAAATTTAGGTGGTGAACCCAATACAGTATACACATGATGTATTACTGAATAGTAGTACACTTGAAACATGACTCATTAACCAATGTCACCCCAATAATTTTAATTAAAAATAGTCCTAACTGCAGTTGGTTCCTCTCAACTATTCAGGGGTTTTGTTTCTAGTTATCTAATTATTCCTTCTTTCGTTTGCATTATTTTTCCCTCTCTACAATCGCCAGCCGATAAACAAAACCAAACAAATCCCTCTTCACATCCCTTCCCCTCAAGCCTCCTAAATTACCATCCCAGTTTTTGCTCCCTTTCACTGCAAAACGAGTTAACCTACGTGTGCTGCTCCACTTAGAAACCTCCCGATTCTCTAACTTCGCAACAAGGCACTCATCCCCTGCACGCCACTGAATTGGCATTGTTCTAAAACACATCCATTTTGCAAAACCCATAGTACCCTACACATCAGCACATGTGGCACAGGTAATCATTTGTTTCTGGAACAATTTCTCGGCTTCAAATATGACGTTTCCCGGTTCCCTGTCTCACTGGCCCTTTCTGGCAGTTTTGTTGCTATCTCCTCTGATGACATCTGTTAAAATGCACCTCCTCCCGCCCCCATCGAGTCTCTAACTAGGTGTCTCCAGTCTTTAAATGCAGTTTACATGATGACTCCCAAATTTAGAAATCAAAACAAACCCTGATCTCTCCCGAGCTTTAGTCTCATATTCATCTGCTTGTTGACACCTCTATGTCTGAAAAGCACCTTGAACTTAATATTTCCAAATTGGAATTACTTTTCACGCATCACTACTCAACCAATTGTCAGACCAAAAACCGAGGAGTCATCCTTGATTCTTCAACAAACTCATGTCCAATGTATCAGCAATTCTGGAAGGATACAGCTGAACCAAATCCATCCTGAACCAACCACTTCTGTCACTGCTGCTTACTATAAGTACCAACTTCTGTCCTAGGAGCTTAAAAGACCTTGATTTCACCAAGATTACTCTATCATTCTTTTTAAAGCCTCCATGGCCTTTGGATATGCTCAGAATAATGTATGTACTCCTTGCTACTGTGAAGGCCCTACGAGATGTGGCGCCCACCCTCCTTTTGTACCCCTTTCTTCACCGTGTCCTCTGGTGTAGGCACGCTGTCACTCCGACATGCCTTAGATGGGGTACTGCTTAGCACACGCTGCCTTTCTCTGGGATCTTTGCCTGGCTTGGTTCAGTAAATGAAATTATTCCTTTTTGTTTGATGCTTCCAGCAGAATATGAATTTCATAAAGACAGGGATTTCACCTGTTTTGATCAAAGCTATTTATCTTTAGCATGTAGTTTAGTACCTAATGCTCAGTAGGTACTCTATTTTTTTGAATGGTTGAATTCATAAAATTAGAATTTACCTGGATCACTTTCCTGGTAGGCATGTTAACAAATTTCATGTTTTAGTTTCTCAGAGTAAAGAATGAGAGCAGAAGAAAGGCAGTTTTTAAGGGCTAGTTCTATCAGACATGCTAGCTTGGTAACTTGCCCATGTTTTCCTTAGGTTTGCTGATGCTAACAATGAAACACCCTGGACTGCTATGGAATAATCAGTGAAAAAATTTTAAAAACTGTAGCCTTCTTTTTCTGACATTATCCTGGGCTACTAAGTCAGACATAGCTTATGTTATATTAATTTTATTATCTTTCATGAGATTTGATAGGCATTAGTGTTTCATAAACATATTTACTGGACTTTTTACAGTATTTTGTTTGCTAATGATGGACCAATGAAATAGGTCAATATAAATATGTTTTTTCTTTCACTGAAATCTTTCTCAGTGGATTAAATCACCCTTATGACCATTACATGACAGCAGCTACCTCCTGTCAAAGGTGAACAATCATACAAAAAGGTTAAAAGCCTCATTCAAGATCCCAGTGTTCTCACAAAACAATCTATATAGAATTTCATGTTTGAAATATGCAAGTTTCCTACAAGGGTTTCATACTTTGCTATATTAAGCATATTCCAAATAGTACACGAGACATTAAAAACAGAAAAGGCACCAATGTTGTATAAGCCGACAGTTATTAAATATGGAAACAATCTAACATTTGTTCATATCAGCCATTTGATGATCTGCTGTCTTGAGGAAACATAGATGTAAAAGTCCGCAGAGAAGCAAGAACTTTGAGGAAGTGAGCGAAATTTCCAAGCTGATCAGAGAATATCCTAAAACTATAGACGAAGACCAATTTGGCACACAGTGGGTCATTACTGATCCAATATTTACATAAGCTCACTATTAAAATTTTTATCTTCTGAACATGTTTTTTGCTCAGCACTGAGGATATAAATTGCTCTCATGGAGCCCACAAGGAAGAAGAGACGGATGATTTTCAGGTAAAATAAACGGTGTAGTGATATAGCTATGAACAAGGTGCCAGGGGGAGATGGGGACAGAAGCACCTCAGTCTGCTTCGGGGAGTCAGGAGGCCTTTAGGGGAAGACTAGAGCCTGGTTTAGCTTCAGTACATCTTGAGGAATGAGAAGTCAGTTGGAGGGCCTTGTATTACAGGCCAGGTGAAAGCAACGTGCTGCTTTTACGATTTTAGGCACTTTACAGGTTAGCGCACAATGACAGTCGTGCAAGGTGGACTCAGGAGGGCAAAGCACGACGACACGAATACCGGCCACCGACGCTACAGGTTACTACACACACCGCTAAATCGAGAGAAAGCAAGGTTCGCGGAAAGAAAAAAACCCTCTCTTTTCATCGGACCCTCCTGCTTTGGACGTAAATTCACCGGAATGTAACCAAGTGTCCATGTTAAGTGTCGTGAAATATACATCGAAGACGAGGCACTTGTCCCCGCAGCGCTCTTAAGTCACTATCTTTACTAGCAAGCTACCGGGGCAAGGCCATGGTCCGCAGACTTTTTCTTGCCAAAGGCTTGTCAGCTGCTTGTCTAGGGCCCCGCAGTAAGTCATTAGTAGTACTGGTCCCCTCCGCCTCCTAATTTTGGTCACTTGTCATGGCAACGAGGTCAAAAACATGGGCGCGGGAGGATACACGGTAGCAGTTTCCACCCCCGGACGGCAGCGAGGCCGACGACACGCGCTCGGGGCCCGGGGTGTCCCGGCTCCGGAGGCCGCGTCCTTGCGAAGC